CTTGATACTCTAAAAACTCCTGGCAGTAATTCGGCCTCTTCACTAATATGCGCCATTACCTTCGTGTAATAGTCAACGTTGCAGGGATAAACAAATTGCAATAACTAATAAGACTAAATAAAACTAATAAAATAATAAATAATAATAATAACACCGCCCATCTCGAGTACGCTCCGTCCATTTCGGGTGTGTTTCCCCCAGTTAGTCTGGCAACCTTGCTAACCTTATTCCACTTTCCCATCTGTGGGCTGCTAAGGAGGCGGATTATGAATTTTTGTGTGCAGTATCGCCAACTTTCGGTGCAAGCCCCGCCCACTGTGGGGCTCACTGCATAGGTCATGTTTGCTGATTACTTCTTGTCCCATGCCCTACCCATCCCCACCTTGACCCGACCTCTCCAAGTCGTTCTTCAGGTCGAACCGAATTTCCGGACAGACAAACAAACAAACAAACAACGAAGCAAATTATATATAGTGGGTGATAAAAGTCAAAGCTATACAAATACCAACAATTATCAATCATTCAGTGGTGAAAGGAAACTTCTGTATCGTCCTATATGAAGTTCAACAGTGGACGGAAAGTCGTCTGTTCTCTGAGAAGCCACTAGAAATGGTCCGCACAGATCTTTTTGCACCTTGGGTCACTGAAAGGAAATGCAGGCGCAGTTTGTCGACGGGAGGGGAGGGGGGCATTTTGCACTTTCGTTGCTTCACTAGTTCTGGTTTACAAGTCTCACTCTGGTGAAACCTGTGAACTCTTGTGAAGCTGGAGCAAGCTCGTCAAGCCATCATGGTAAAACCTGTCAACTCGAGAAGAGGCTGTCTAGATGGGTCGACACGTCGATGGGAAGTCGTTAAAGTGCAAAATGCCCCCCCCCCCCGTCGTCAAACAGCGCCGCAGATTCTTCTGGGAGGATAGGAACTTTGACTTGTACATCCGCAGGCTCTGCAAATCATTACACAAACCATGTCGCATTCAGTAAGCCTCTATGATTCTGAGTGGAAGTAGAATGCGTGGCGCCCTCCAAAAAGATATTGATGAACGCCCAAAGTTTCACTGTTTATCCTTCTGATTAGGGATTCACTCATGGCAGTAATCTAACAAGTTCACCTCCATCGCTTGCAAGTACATCTCCTTAGTGGCAGCGATGTGGAGATAATCCGCCAATACAGTAATCAGTGATGGTTCGCATACTCGTTGAAGGAACAATTTCGTGCAGCAGACACGATGAATGATCGGGTTCCGACGAATCGACAATCCAAAGCAACGCTGAAAATTGGAAGTTTTTATTAGCAAAGCTTTAGATTCGATTGCCTATTACCAAGAAACGAGGCAAGGGGGAGAAGAGTAGCGAAAATCCGAAGAACAGGCTCATTGCGTCAGCATAGTACAGGGCGGTGACACTCCCTGAGCAAGCCCTCTCCAGAACAAACCTCTAGTAGCTTTGCTTTTCGGTTTCGAGTAGCAAGGTCGAACATACGCTCTTTCGTTGTAGAACGCTCAACAGGGCACAGCAAATCCCCAGCGAGCGGGGTAGGGGGGAGGAAGAGGGGCGTATTTGGT